TACGATTATGATAGAACCGAATACGATTACGAATACGAAGGGGATATATAGGAAGGCGACGGCTGAGCTCGCTCTCTCTCTCGCTCTCTCTCGATCAGTCAGTCAGTGTGGCAGTATCAAGTTGGTTATTGAACGGGTTAGCCGTATTGTGTTAAGAAGGACGATAGACATGTGCATTCAGTTATGTGAAGACTAGTGAGGACTGTTGGGGGTCAGTTGATTCAGACTATTATTGTGAAGCATTCCTTTTGATTCATTATATTATTGTGAAGCATTTCTTTGATTCATGTAATAAAAGGATCAATAGCGAACCTGCATCTTCGAGTATCTATACTGTGGTCGATGTTGTGTAGAATGAGTGGTTAGACTCGGTAACATTTGGCGTTGTCGAGCAGAACTCGTTAACATTTGGCACTACAGGCAAATAGTCTCGTTACATATATATATATATATATATATATATATATATATATATATATATATATATATATATATATATATATATATATATATATATATATATATATATATATATATATATATATATATATATATATGGGGGGGCCAAAAAAAATTTTTGCGGGGTGGCCCATTTTTTCTAGTTCCGCCACTGAATAAAATATAATAGTTATTCAGCAATATGTTTATTTTCTGCATTAAATGTCCGCTACATGGAGTTATAACAGTGCTGTAGAGAAGACGAAGAATTCCCTTTTTTTGAACGCCTCTAAAAACAGCATCAAACTAGCAATGTTATTTTATTCATCAAAGATATCAGTTTTATTTAAACACATAACCACATATTTGACTATCAAATACGAACTAAGAAAAATTTTTCCCACTTTAGCTTTATATTCATAGATACATTTGTACATGGAAAATGTAGGCGTATATCTTGCTCATTTAAATTTCAGATGAATTATATCCGAATCAAGAAATGTATTTAATTAATTCGCCTACTGTAAATTCCATTTACAAATTTAAATTAACCAAGAAGGATAACCTATAAATTTGCTCCCAAAAATGGCTAAATGTACAAAGAAATTCATAAATAATTGTACAAGCTTCAAAACATTGTTTACAGTGTAAATTATAACAAAATTATTTGTACTTCTTCTAAAATTGATTGTTTAACCTTTGTTTTCTTAATTTTAGATTATTATAAGGCTTAAATTTTAATTGCAAATAGCTAGCAGAATTAAAGAATTGAAATGTAGACATGATGAGAAATTTAGTTTTAACTAATTCTCTGTCGATTTTTTTGCGACACAACTCTATGTGTAGCTCTGTTGTTTTACTTTACATTAAAAAAGAAAACCCACTCCGAAAAAGAAAAAACAAAAAAAAAATATGTATATATATATATATATATATATATATATATATATATATATATATATATATATATATATATATATATATATATATATAAATATATATTAGCCATCGGCACCCGTTACACGTGAATTATAGGCCTATATTCTTGTAACGCTATGCTTGTTTCAGAAAAATATTTTATGAAATAGTTATTGGTCAAAACGCAATGTGCTTTTTCTACACGTTGATTGATATAAGTGAAAAAGCAAAAAAAAAACTTAATAATAAAATATCCACACACATTTAGTATAATATGGACTACCAATACCAATTTGAAAAAATTAGAAATAAATCTAGAACACTAGAATTAAGAACGAAGAAGACGAAGAAAATATAAAAATTAATTTAAGATGTCATGTTTTCTGAAATTACTGAAGCAAACTTACACCATCTAATTTACAATTATTGTTTTACTGGTGTCACCCTCCCCCCCCCCCCACACACACACACGCCTTTACGATGGGAGGCTGTTACATGATGACATGTTCGATAAGAAATTTAGCATTGATATTTTAGTTAGCCGCCACGCTCCATCATCAAAGGATTTATTGATTTGCAATTTTTTTCAATGTGGTGTCAGGCCCATCCACTTTGGTGGGTGGTGTATTTCGTAATGATCACTACATTGTTCTGTGAAAATTGCATTTGATGCTCCCCCCTCTAATTAAACAAGTGGCATCAGTTTTTGCAAAAATTATATTAACGAGCTGACCCGCGACGTAGTATACGCCGCCATCTAGTTGTTTTATTTTCTGGTTATTAGCAATTCAAAATTTGTAAATTCTACACTATCCCCTACCGCCCCTCCCCCCCCCCCTCCCGCCCAGTGAAAGCAGCTGTTTACAGACAAAGAAAAGATCAATCAGAAATTGTTACCTCCCCTTCGTTTCAAATCGTTTAATACTAAATTATCTGCACCTAATAGCTTCACTAACCCAGCTCTACGATTGTAAACATCGGGGTGAACCACAGCTCACCTGACAGGTGGGAATGAGATCCTCTTATTACTTCAATTGGGAAAAAAGCATGTTTCATATTAACCTTTCAAATGTGGTGTCACCATCACACCAGTCGTTTGTTGAGGTATCAGTTATTGAAAATACTCAACAAAACAATTTTAAATTTGTAAAACGTAGTTTTCAGTTGGTGTCGTTTGTAGCACAAGCTGTGTCTGAGATGGATGAGGTTGACCGTGCTCTAGACTAGAAAGCTGGTTTGTCATCAGGGTTGTTTAGACGTGTTAGCCTTCCTGCTTGCCATTCTTCAATTTTCTTTCCTTTGAGGTCAGGGTAACCCCAGCTCTGAGAGTGGCTGTTCATGTCTCCCACAACCAGGCAATCTTCATTATCTGGCAGAGATATGCGGTCCAGTTCCAGGTCCTTATCGCCGTTTGTCCGAAGATTACCTTCTGTTAGAATGAGCTAGGTACTCATTTTTTAAATTTAAATTTGCATATGAAATTTTCTTTGCTATTTAAGCTTTTTAAAATTCTTAATTTTTAATTAGAAACTAAATTTAATTGAAAACAACTAGCTAAATCAAATAACTGATACGTAGACTAGTAAAGGTTCAACACTTTCATTTCATTAACCTTTAGATCTAGTGATTCTTATGGGAGAACACGTTTTTTCTTTCTTTAATAAACGCAATTTTAACATAACATTAAATAACACATTTGCATTTCTGCTAAAAATATAATTGTAAATAGATGCAATGTATTATCTATAAGAAAACTATCCAAAAATAATGAAAAAAACAAACATGTCAGAAAGAAATATTACAAATTTAAATCTGTATCAGTTCTCACAAGCCGATGATGAAAACTGTAATACTAAAGATAACATGACAAGGCAAACTGACACTGTAAATTACATGTCTGAGAGGTGGGGGGGGGGGGGGGGGATTAAGACAAAAAAATTTACACAAAATATAACAAACGCCTACGCATTTTAATAAAGTGTAATATTTGGATAAGTAGACGAACCAATGTATTAAAATGATTGCTGTTTGTAGAAAACCACACAGCAGATCAGGGGCAGGTAAATCTTGAACAAGGTTTCGGTTTTTACCTTATCATTACCCCCACCCATCACCTAATACAGTACTATCAATACTTTACTTAAAATATGATACTATACATATCTTGTAATAAATACAGTGTTATAGATATATATAAAGTGAAATGAAAACTAAAATATTGTTCAGAGAAAAGAAAGGTGTACTTTGAAATTTTATAAGTGCATTTCGGTAGTTGAAAGAATGGAACCACTGCCACGGGGCTGGCCACATCACAGTTGTGCGGCTGGGCCTTGTATCCATGCAGTTGTCAGCTGTTTGTACACGCTCTACTCCACCTGTTCATAGTGTTTTTATTTTGTTTAAAGTTGTTTTCCAGTATAATATTTTTGTGAGTTATGAAAATAAAATAATATTAAAAGTTGTATATAGACCTACATATAAAGTATATATATATATATATATATATATATATATATATATATATATATATATATATATATATATATATATATATATATATATATATATATATATATATTATAATTTTAAATAAAAACTGTTAGCTGAATAAAAAAAAATTCTTTTAAAAGTAGAAGTTCAAGGTTAACATTAATAACTTTAGGCCTACTTTTACTTTGCCTGGGTACATCATATTTACTTTCTCGTATACGAAGTATAGAGGAAGTATTGTAATCGTGCAAAACAAAAATCTGGATTTTAACCGATCTCGACGTTTTACACCCCTTTGAGTGGGAGAAACATAGTTTTGCAATTTTGTCCGTATGTCTGTGTCTGTATGTGTTTGTGTGTATATGTGTGTGTGTAAACGCGATAACTTAAGTATAGTTACAGCTAGGTTGATGAAATATATATATATATAATATTTACCGTTTGTAGAAAAAACACAACAGATCAGGGGCGGATAAAGCTTGAGCAAGGTTTCGGTTTTTATCTTGTCATTTCACACCTCCGCCCCTTCACCAAACCCATACTGGTAGTGGCATGTTATTACCTTTTAAAAGTGTTACCTAATTCAGTATAAATATATTATCATAGTGTCATAAATACAGTATTATATATATATATATATATATATATATATATATATATATATATATTATATATATATATATATATATATATATATATATATATATATATATATATATATATATATATATATATATATATATATATATATATATATATATATATATATATATATATATATATATATGGTAACCCGGGGTAATTCCATACACTACTTTTCTAAAAAATTTGTAAAAAATCTAAAATTAACACTACCACAATATAATATTGAGGGTATAACTAGACATGCATTACTTATATGACGGGAAACAAATATAGAGATAATTCACAAACTAAAATACAATTTTTAAATATTTCACTTTTATTGCAAAAACATGGCAAGTGGGGCATTTCCACACACAGTATGAATATTTTAAAATTCATGTATTTAAAAATGTATAAAAAACATTTTTCCCCTTGGAAACAATGTTGCATGGGGGCAACCACTTTTCATCACTGGATGAAGAGAAAGCCTCCATTTCTTCCTCCTGAATTCTGCTCTCATCTGTCATAGGCCGAAGTTATTCCTTTATAATTGTGGACCATTCTGAAATAAATACAAAATTAAATGTTAGAAAGTCTAATTACTAATGTGTGTATGGGGATGTTTAGCTCTAAATATTGCATAAATTATAATAAATAATATAGGTACAGTAAAAATAATAACAGATAAAGAAATAAAAGAAGTCGGTGGCAATTTTACTTAACTTTAATAGCAGCGTCTTTTTAAAAATAAATAGTACTAGATCTAGTACTATTTAAGTATTTTTTAAGATTAAATCATGAGTTGTGAATTACAGAATTAGCCATAACCAGTTGAAATGGTTTAAAATAAAAGCTAAACCCTCTAAAGAGTATAAAAAGCAACATGGGACATTCCAAACTATAGTGTATGGAATTGCCCCACACCATGTGTGTGGAATTGCCCCACACCTACTATTGAAAAAAAAATAGGCTTTCCTGTTCTAAATTAATGCTGAATCTAGCATCATTAACTGCTACTATTAACAAAAATGATTAAGCTTTCATAAAATCAATAAATAATTGACAACAATTAAAAATAAGACAAAAAAAATATTTTAAAAAAGTGCAGGGGTTGTACTTACCTAAGGATGTTTGAAGATAGATGCAGATAAAATTAAAATTCTTGCTCTGATTGTAGATGAACGCTTCTCTAACAGTATCAGAAAGTACAAGAAATGACCTCTTAGAAACAAGGAATAGTAACTTTTAGTTAAACTTTACTCCCATTAAAAATAGAGAGTATCCAGTATATAGTTAGTGGAATTACCTCGTGTGTGGAATTACCCCGGCTTACCCTATATATATATATATATATATATATATATATATATATATATATATATATATATATATATATATATATATATATATATATATATATATATATATATATATAACGTGAAATTAAAACTTAAATATTGTTTAGAGAAAAGAACAGTGTACTTTGAAATTTTGTAAAATAAAGGCCGATGGCTAGGACGTTTAAAAAGTTTAATGCATCTAGTTCAGAACCTAGCAATTGATTTATTAATTCATCAGAATTATTTTCAATTCTTTAATTTAAATTATTCAAGAAAGACAACTCATAACCACAATCCAAAATATCGTTAAGTAAGTTAATAAATTCATAAATAATTAAATAAAAGGCAAACTAGTGTTTGTTTTTTTATTTATTGAAAATATTAGAAGGTTTTGTAACAAAAATTTCATTGTTAAATTTTTTTATTTATTTTAAACTTTTATTTGAACAATAATTTTAAATTAAAACCACTAGCTGATTTTAAAAATTGATTTATATAAATAAAAAGGTTCATGTTTATCAGAGTTGTGAAATCGTAGTGATTTTTATCTTTCTAATTTATTGATTATACAAGTAAAAAAAAAAAAAAAAAAAAAAAAAAAAAAAAAAAAAAAAAAATGAATATACGAAGTAAAGAGAAAGTCTTGTAATCGTGCCAAAAAAAAATCGAGATTTTTCAAAGATATCGACGTTTTACACCTACCTGAGTCGGAGAAACATAATTTAGCAAATGTGTCCGTACGTCTGTGTGTGTGTGTCTGTAAACACGATAACTTGAGTACCGTTACATCTAGGTTGATGAAATTTATATTTAAGATTTACTGTTTGTAGAAAACCACACCACAAATCAGGGGAGTTCCACCCCCCCCCCCCATCACCAAACCGACATTGGTATTGGCAAATTTTTACCTTTACAAATGTTTCCTAATACAGTACTATAAATACAGTAATTTAAATATGACACTATATATAATATAATAAAGTGTCGTAAATACAGTAGTATAGATACTTTAGCCCTTATATTCATAGATACGTTTGTATATGGAAAATGTAGGCTTTTATCTTGCTTATTTAAATTTCATGTGAATTAATTTAATTAAATCCGAACCAAGAACTTTTTTAAAAATTAATTCGCTTACGCTAATTTCCACTTATAAATTTACACTAACCAAGAAGAATAACCTACGAGTTTGCTCCCAAAAATGGCTAAATGTGCAAAGAAATTCATAAATAATTTTGAAAAATACAAACCATTGTTTGAAGTTTAATCGAAACTAGAATATATTTTATAATGTTATAAAAAGGATCGCTTAGCCTTTGTTTTGTAATTTTAAATTATTATCAGGCTCAAGTTTTAATTGCAAACAGCTAGCTGACTTAAAGAATTGACTTGTTGATATGGTGAGAAAGTTTGGATTAAGCAATCGGCACTCTTTCAAGACTCTTGACACAAAACTCCGTGTATCTCTGTTATTTTTCGATTGTTAAGACACATGGATGTTACCTTTGTTTAACCACGAACTCTATACAAAAAAAAAGTAGCTCTGTTGTTTTAATGTTTTTTATAAAAGAATGTAATTGAAAATAGTACATACTCTTGGTCTAGGCCAGGGGTCGGCAACCTTTTCAGGTGTAAGAGCCAAAAGTTTTAATTTACAAAATTTCCCAGTTTTTAAAGAGCCATTAATAATTTTTCTTCCATATTAAGGTATGTGATTAGAATTTTTTTTGTCACTGCAAAGATTACATGCCTTGATAGGCAATAAATATTTTTTGTTACTCATGAATATGTTTATTTTCTGTATTAAATGTTCGCTACTAGGAATTATAACGGTACTGTAGAGAAGACGAAACATTGCCTGTTTTCGAACGCCTCTAAAAACAGCATCAAACTAGCAATGTTATTTTATTCATCAAAGATGTCAAAGTTTGCTTTAATCACATAGCCACATAGAACACATACTTGACTAACAAATACAAACTAAGAAACATTTTTCCCACTTTAGCCTTTATATTCTTATATACATTCGTACATGGAAAATGTAGGCTTATATCTTGCTCATTTAAATTTTGGATACATTAATGTAATTATTTCCGAATCAAAAACCTTTGTTTAATTAATTTGCCTACGCTAATCTCCATTTATAAATTTGTATTAACCAAGAAGGATAATCTGTAACTTTGATCCCAAAAATTGCTGCATTTAAAAAAAAATTCATAAGTATTTTTTTAAAAATACAAATCATCGTTTACAGTGTAAATTAAAATAAAAATATTATTTATTCTTATAAAAATGATAGTTTAACCTTTTGTTCTGTAATTTAAAATTATTATCAGGCTCAAGATTTAATTGCAAACAGCTAGCTGAGTTAAAGAATTGACTTGTTGATACGATAAGAAAGTTCATTTTAAGCAAAGATTATCTATTGCAGAGGCTTGACACAACACTCCGTGTAGCTCTGTTGTTTTAATTTATTTATAAAAGGATGTAATTGAAAATAGTACATACTCATTTCCCAGTTTTTAAAGAGCCATTAATATTTGTCCTTCCATATTAAGGTATTCGATTAGAATTAGCAAAATAATTATTTGTTTATGGGTTTAAGTATGAAAATATATGTATTCATATAAAAACATACACATGTATGCCTAAATTTAAATTAACCAAGAAGGATAACCTATAAATTTGCTCCAAAAAATGGCTAAATGTACAAAGAAATTCATAAATAATTGTAAAAGATACAAAACAGTGTTAACAGTGTAAATTAAAACAATTTTATTTTTAATTCTTATAAAAATGATTGCATAATCTTTGTTTTGTAATTATAGATTATTGTAAGGTTTAAATTTTAATTGCAAACAGCTAGCTAAATTAAAGAATTGAGATGTATAGATTTTGAGAAAGTCATGTTTAAATTATTGCATTAGTCCCGGGTTTGCGACACAACACTCCGTGTTGCTCTGTTGTTTTAATTTACTTAAAAAGAAAATAATTGAAAATAGTACAATCTCTTAGTCCTAGGCTGTAGCGTCACCAGTTCGGGTGTAGCCCCACTCCGACAAAAAATAATAATTTAAGATGTCATGTTATCTGAAATTACTGAAGCAAACTTACACCATCTAATTTACAATTATTGTTTTACTGGTGTCACCCTCCCACCCCCATTCCCCCCCCCCCCCACACACACACACATCTACGCTGGGAGGCTGTTACATGATGACATGTTCGATAAGAAATTTAGCACTGATATTTTAGTTAGCCGCCATGCTCCATCATCAAAGGATTTATTGATTTGCAATTTTTTTCAATGTGATGTCAGGCCCAACCACTTTGGTGGGTGGTGTATTTCGTTCTAATCACTACATTGTTCTCTGAAAGTTGCATTTGGTGTCTACCCCCACCCCCTCCAATTAAACAAGTGGCATCAGTTTTTGCAAAAAATTATATTAACGAGCTGACCCGCGACGTAGTATACGCCGCCATCTAGTTGTTTTTTTTTTCTGGTTATTAGCAATTCATAATTTGTGAACTCAACACTACCCCCTACCGCCCTTACTTCCCCCCCCCCTCCCGCCCAGTGAAAGCAGCTGTTTACAGACAAAGAAAAGATCAATCAGGAATTGTTACCTCCCCTTTGTTTCAAATCGTTTAATACTAAATTATCTGCCCCTAATAGCCGTCATTAACCCAGCTCTACGATTGTAAACATTCAGGGTGAACCACAGCTAACCTGACAAGTGGGGATGAGGGTGGTGACTAACCTGCGTGGTGTTTTCTATGGTCTCCATGAAGAGAATTATATATATATATATATATATATATATATATATATATATATATATATATATATATATATATATATATATATATATATATATATATATATATATAGATCCGCTTATTACTTCAAGTGGAAAAAAAAAGTTTTCATATTAACTTATCAAATTTGGTGTCACCCACACCGGTCGTTTGTTGATGTATCAGTTATTGGAAATACTCAACAAAGCAATTTTAAAATTGTAAAATGTAGCAAAGTTTTCAGTTGGTGTCGTTTGTAGCACAAGCTGTGTCTGAGATGGATGAGGTTGACCGTGCTCTAGACTAGAAAGCTGGTTCGTCATCAGGGTTGTTTAGACGTGTAAGCCTTCCTGCTTGCCATTCTTCAATTTTCTTTCCTTTGAAGTCAGGGTAACCCCAGCTCTGAGAGTGGCTGTTCATGTCTCCCACAACCAGGCAATCTTCATTGACTGGCAGAGAGATGCGGTCCAGTTCCATGTCCTTATCACCGTTTGTCAGAAGATTTCCTTCTGTTAGAATGAGCTAGGAAATATTTTTTTTAAAATTTAAATTTGTATATGAAATTTTCTTTGCTAATTAAACTTTTTAAAATTATTAATTTTTAATTAGAAACTAAATTTAATTGAAAACAACTAGCTAAATTTTATAACTGACACGTAGACTAGTAAAGATTCAAAAGTTTCATTTCATTAACCTTTAGATCTAGTGATTCTTAGAACACGTTTTTTCTTACTTTAATAATCGCAATTTTAACATAACATTAAACTACACATTTGCATTTTCTGCTTAAAATATAATTGTAAATAGATGCAATGTATTATGTATCAGAAAACTATCCTAAAATAATGAAAGAACATGTCAGAAAGAAATATTGCTATTGTAAATCTGTATCAGTCCTCACACGCAGATGATGAAAACTGTAATACTAAAGCGAACACGACAAGGCAAACTGACGCTGTAAATTACATGTCTGAGGCGGGAAAAAAAGAGAAAACAAAGAACAAAACAAAAACAAATAAATTTACATTCTCGTATACGAAGCATAAAGGAAGTATTGTGATCGTGCAAAAAAAATAATCGAGATT